AAGAGCTCTGCCATTTCACTATCTTCTATTTATATTGTTCCCTGTAAAATTCTTACTTTTGAATTTTTGGTTGCTATGAAGTATGGGTTTTTTAAAAATGATTATTATTTTCACAGTAAAAAAGGCTTATTTATTCGCTTGTCAAAAATTAAGGGTAAATTAATAAATTTAGTTTTCAAACTTACATGCAAATTGAATTGAGACAAGGAGGCAATCTGAACAAAGAAAAGCTCCTACACTCAGGAAGAAAAAACGGTGTTATACTGGACAAATTTTACTTAAAATACTCTTGCATTTCTTTCACTTCAGGTAAAGAAAGTACAGGTAAACATTATTGTCATTTCATATAAAAGCACCCAAGTAAAATTTTAAAATTTATTCTCCAAATTTAAGCACATATATTAGTTTCCTGTTGCTGTTCTAATAAATTACCACAAATTTAGTGCCTTAACTCAAATTATTATTTTAGATCTCTGGAGGTCATAAGTCTCACTGGTCTAAAATCAAGGTGTCTGGGTTTGAAAATAAAGGTAGTACAAGGCTGTGTTCTTTCTGGAGACTCTAAGACAGCATTCAGTCCTCACCTTTCCCAGTTTCTGGAAGCCACCTACATCCCTTTGCTTGGGGCTCCCTCTTCCATCTTCAAAGCCAGTAGCCTAGTATCTTGCGTCTTCTCTCCTCTCCGACCTCTACTTCCATCATCATAGTTCCTATCTTCACTCTAACTCACCTGTCTCTCTCCTATAAGAACCCTTGTGATTATTATTGGACCCATCTGGATAACCCAAAATAATTTTCCTACCTCAAGGTCATTAACTTAATTACATCTGCAAAGTTCCTTTTGCCACGTAAGATAACATATCCACGGGTTCTGAAAATCAGGACATGGGTACCTTTGAGAGCATTATTTGGCATAGCACAACAAAACTGTCCATTTCACTAATGGGATAAAGTGTGGGAGGAGTAGCTATAGCAGGGCAATATCTACTTACCTGGTGATAACACTCTCCACTTCTTTCAGCATGAGCAAGTTCTTGAAGTTCCTGAGAAGGATCAGCACCCGGAGAAATAATTATCAAGATGGGTTCAATTTCTAGTGTCTCTTTGTACAAACGTTTGAGATTTAGAGGAAGTGGGGACAACTCTTTCAGTCCTAAAAGATATAATTAAAAAAATTAAAAATAAAAAAACAATATGCATCATTAAAAAGTCTAGTAAAATTACATAACACGTAATAGAGAATATCTAGGTAAATTATAATCTCACATAAAGTTTTTTCACTGTAAAATCATTCACATACAGTAATAGCTAACATTTATTGAATGCTTAAGGTGCCAGGCATTTTTCTAAATACTTTCCATATATGGTATCATCTAATCATCACAATGATGAGGTAGGTACCCTGATTACCATATTTAACACCTGAAAAAATACACAGCCAGCACTGTGACCTCAATTTACAATTCTCTCTCTACAAGAGAAGACTGAACCCAATCATTCATCTATTAATATATATCTCATTAATACTATTCATTAATTTACATGATAGCTGAGTGCATACTCTGTGCCATGCATATGGGGAATCAGATTTCTCATAATCTGGGTAAACAATTTCACTGTCATGATATGATATAAAAAGTTACTTCTTACTCCTATGTGTTAAGGCAGAAAAAGTAGTATAAAAAGTGAAAAGAATGCTTAGTTTGAAGCCAGGAATACAGAGCTGTCAATTTACATTTGTTAGCTGAATGATCCTATGCAAATCTCTAAAATGCACTGTGCCTCAGTTTCCTCAATTATAAACAGGGATAAAGCAATCCACAGGTACTTTGGGGGGCAAAATAAGATATAGTAATTATAATATTAATAAATTCCATGTATGCATCATCTACACTATGCTAACTAAGTATTATACCAGGTAGTTTATTTCTCTGCTATCTAAACCATACAATGACCCTTAGAAACAAATATCACTACGTTCATTTTATATATAAGAAAACTAATAAAGAAATAGAGTATCTTTCCATAGGGCACCAAATTGCCAACTGCATTCAAACACAATTTGTATGTGCTTTTTCTACTCTGTAACTCTTCGCAAACTATAAAGTCCTATTCAGATAAGAAATTATAATTTTGCTATTATACTCAAATCTCATCTGCTAAAATTTGAATGTTTCCACTATTAATGTATTTAATAAAAGCTAAGATGAAAAAGGCACACTTCAATTAATAATTAAAAATATACTTGTTTGAATTGAGCTAAAAAGGCTGTGACACATGAGTTTAAAAATAAAGGGAGACTTAGGAGAATAGAATAACTACAGAATGACTACACAGGCAAGAAGGATATCCTCAAAAGTGGGAATGAATAGACAATATTGCACCTTAAAAATAGACATTCTTGAAGAATTCTGTAGCAAATACTTTAAAATACGAATTCAATACCATCATGATGAGTCCAAAAAGGCATTTCTAGATAATCAACCTGAAAAGACACATCTCATACTAAAACACCCTCCACTATTCTTCACAATGGCAACCCATAATGATAAGTAAGAAGGTCCAAACACAGAATAGTCCTAATACCAGGTGAAATTCCTAGTACCAGGTGAAATATATTCCAGCAG